AGGGAAAGTGTTCGTAGATTATCGTACACAAGGAATTGAATGGTGAAGTCACAGATTACAGGACAAAAAAACAAAATACTGGGTGTGCACATACTTTTGAAACACACTGTATTACTGTCCGTGCTTTCGAAGCGGTGGTACAGGTTGACTGGCATTGTTGAAGAAATAATGTAGAACAATAGTTTAATGCTTTGTAGCATGTATGATTATCCACTGATTCTTGAGGTACACGCCTTTTCAAGAAGCCCCGCCATGAGGTAAACGTGTGCGGTAGGACATGATACCACGGCTAAACTCAAAACCCTGAATTCGCCCACGACTTGCTTTGAAATCGTCCCCTATGAGTCTTCGTTGCTGACCTGAAGCGTCATCCAGTTACAATGACTGTCGTGCAACGAGATCCTTACATTAATTTTATGATCAACCTTTCCAACTTATCCCCTATTTTCTGTTTCGCTTATTTGCCCTTGATAGTGACGCCCAAATAGGACCTCATACTTTGTCAAAGGAGGGCTAATTTTAAAGCTCATAGCCTCTCACACTTGCCCCTATTTTCCGTCGACGGCAATCTGGCGTGATGATACGAATCTGTTTTTCATGTGCGAGGATATGTGGCTGCTTTTGACACTCGAACTGTAGAAGCTATGGACTCTTATACCATCGCCACTCGACTACCTCGCAGTGGATAACGGGATTGTTTTCATAGCACCGAGTATACGGTTTGAAAGCTCATTATTACCGCCTCTCCTAGATGGCGCCCACGTTACGCTGCAAGAACGAAACTCTTCCATCAAATGCGGTGGCACCACCTTCGGCCAGAATATTTCGCTGGAAACATATTGAAGAGCGTTTGGTGCTATGAATCATTTGGAACCATCCTCCTTAAAGGCACAGTTCACGATAATTTTGGATAATACAGATTATGATGAAAAATGGAAGGCAAGATCGAAACTAGTGCGACTGAGGTGAAGAAACTGCGTGCATCGGTGTTTCCAAAGTGAGAAAAGGCTTCGAAAAACCGTTAAAAAGGGGGCTGGACGAGAATGAAACCAGAATAATGAGGAAGAGTGGGGCGTCCGGACGAGCTAAGCAGTGTGTTTCACTGCGTGCATGCGGGTCCTGGTGCGAATAACAGACAATGGTAAGCACAAATTCATTCACTTATAAGGATAAATAAACAAAAAAACCCTAGTAACAGCAAAAGTAGTTCACCTTTTTTAGCCTGTAGCTCACCTTTTTCAGCCTGTAGTATTAGGAAATTAAATAAGGGATCGCGGCAGCAAAAAGAAAACAGAGGAAAAAAGAATGGGAGAAAAACATCGCCTCGTCACTCGGCGATTAGCTGATTGTGCGTGGGTCCTAGAACGAATAATAGCAATCTGTATTGTCTCGACACTCGTCTAACGTGACACCGATCGAACGGCGGGAAAGCGAACTACGGCAGCAACGGGGCTTCCACTATGCCCTAAGCGCCGAGATTGTGGGAGCGAGAGGGTCCCTTCTATCACCCATGGGAGGCGCTGAGTGTTCCTAAAGGAAGAACTCAGTAACCTTTTTTATCGCGAACCGTGCCTTTAAAGCCTCTGAAGCCCATTTCGAGCGATTCTTTAGAACCACTCTTTTGTTCGAGTGAACTACAACTGTATTGTGGCGGTGAGGGGCAAAAAAAAATCCCTGTAATACCTTCCCAGTGTTCCAAAAATGTGAGATAGCTCCGTAGATGGCCAATATTGAGCCCAAAAAACATTTTGCAAGCGTTTAGGACGCATTTCATGGAAAAGCAAAGCGAGCACATGCATCAAGGAACCGAACCTTGATGTCATGCCTACCAGCCCACCACACTAGCCGCTAGGCCACCGTCGCACAGGTCAAGGCTTTGCTCGGCTCGGTGATCCGTTCAGTGCTGTGGTATAACACAGGGAGGAACTGGTCCCGTAACTTTGTTCCCAGAATCGTTTAGCAGATTTGGAACACAGATTTGAGATCAGCGTTCAGAACCACCTACGGCGGTACACATCTCATCTTGAATGGCCACTGCGACCAAGTGCCCTTCCCTTGTGAGTCTTAGTGTCAAACCTGCGCCGCCACGGTGCTTGTTTGACTCGCCGAGAGATTAATTCAGTTATCGCCCTGGCCTAACGGCCATCGCAGATTCATGAAGTATCCTTTCCAATTGATCCTCGACTCTTTGGCGGAAGCGATAGCATCCCTAAACTTCGTTCGATGATGGAGGTCGGGAACCGGATTCCTTTCCGTTTTTGCTCGTGCTGGAAAATTTCGTAAATTGACTTCTGTGCGGTACGTTGCCTAACGCTGGCTGCATGCTCAATGTGTACAATGAGTATTGTCTCCTCTATGGCGGTTTGGCTGGCTGTACGCTTTATCTGTCAAAGTCGAGATCGAGTCTGAAGCGCGAGTCAAGACCCAAGGTACTGGAAAGTCGAAAGGATGGGAGGATGGGTGCAAAGCCGACTGTACTCAACCTTCATCTCTACTCCCTCTTTGTTCTTAAATGCTTCGAATGTCGCTCGTTTCCTTCTGCTCGGCTTGCTTGCTATTCATTGCATCGACTTCTCGATCCACGTACACGTAAACGGATGTTCAGAGATGTTCATGCTCGAGCGAAGAATGAATTAGCACGTTTGTTATGAACATCGCCCTCGCGCAGTTTAGTTGCTAATTGATTTCCCATAACGTTGTCGAGTTTAGACAATTTGGTATATGTTTTGCTCTGCCAACCTTTGGCGTTATATGAGCGACGTCGTCTGCGAAGCGGAAGTGGTGTAAGTGCCGGCTGTCCATTGTTCACGTTTCAAATAACGCATGACGTTTTGAAAGTGGCAGTGAAAGATTTAAACGGTGTGTATTGACCCGTAGGTCGTTTCCCTTCAGGTTAACCATCATATCTCCCTCACAGGGTGATGTTGTTATAGTCGTGAGATGTTAACGGAGTATTGAATAGGAACACCTTGGTCGCCCAAGGCTTTGATAAGAAATTCTGCTTCAATATTGTTGTGGAAGTGAATCGTAACGGAAGCTTTTCGAATGCTCTGCTTCATTGTCATGAACGAAGCTGTTCAGTTCTTATTTGACATGACCCATAGAAAGGAGATTGAAATGACGACATATCAATCCTTTCTCGGGTTGTAATTAAGCAGGCAGACATGGATGTTGAGTCGATGAAGTAGATGTCGTAGAGGCGTTGTTAATGTCGTAGATGATCTCCCGCATTGCCATTCGCAATGCAGTGACTACTGCGTGGGTATGTTCAAGAAATGTCTTCTTCTTGTGATAGCGGAGTCCCGAGCTCAGCAAATGCTCTTATAAGTCTCGGCGGTTCTTTCAAAACTGCTGCTGTTCTCCATCTTAGATAGTTCTTCATTGCTTATCTGCATAGCTTTGTAGTTCGGGCGTTAGTTATTAACTGCTTACAGTAACACACTAACGCCCGAACTGAGGTGACGGCTAAATCTGTACACCAACAGGAGGCACTCCTATGCAAAAACTCTTGAGCTGGTTCGAGGGCTTCTGGATAGAAGCGTCTCCTATCAGTGTGCGGACTCAGCGTTCCCATCGCTGTCATGATGATGTTCGACGAGCGGTTTGTATGCCCCTTCACCTATGTTGTCGCAAAAGGGAATAGCCTGGAGGTTCGCATCTCCACGCATTGGAGAATAGAATTTAGCACCGACATCTGCGCGACTAGGCTCAAGATTAAACCCGTATACAAACAGAAGAACTGGAAGAGGTTAAATCTTAATGTCTTGAATATTCTTCTCTGAAGCTTGATCCAAGATGTTACAATTTTCTTAAACCTTATGGATCAGCGCGAAAATTCCAAAAATGAATCGGAAAAATTAATGTTTTGCCGTAACTAACGAGCTTGCCCCGTTACTCGACCTGTGTAGTTTTCAATTGCCACCGGCGCCTAGCCAGGGGTCAGGACACCCGAAGCCCATACACTGCGAAAGAATAAAATGCGCAATTTAAGAAGGAGGCTAGACAGTCTTCTATTTGACATCTAAGGAAGGTTTTCTATTGTGATTTGCAAGACCTTTTTTGATATCTATTGGCCACACTTGAACTAAGCTGAGGCCTGAACGCCATTTGATCAGGATCAGTCAAAATCCAAATGATTTTGGTTCCCAGGCTCTGACGAAGACGACTGGCCAAAAGTTGGCCTGATAAAAATTGTAGCATCTTGGCAGAGGCTTCAGAGGAGGCCATCCTAGGCATCAAGCCATCATACCAAGACTGAGTGAGAGCCGAACATGATTGCTTCTAAATCTTAATGTTTTGAAACTGTTCTATCCGTTCTCCTTCATCGAGCATCCCTGACGTTGTGTCTCTACGACAACAGGTGTAACCTCGCGAGGAAGAATATATCAGCTCGCTATCGCTCGGGATGACCAAGTGGCTTAGATCTGTTTACAGAAGAAGCAGAGTGGAAGACAATAAGGCGATGTCGAGTTTACCTTCGAATTAAAGAGTGAAGTTGCTAGGCTTTGAGATGTAGAGGATTACTGGCTAGATAGGTGCCAGACTGCTGCAGCAGCGAAGCGCTCGGTGTTATATCCAAATTGTGCAGAAGCATTCACTACTAGGTTGAGAAGCCTCGATCAAGAATATCCGGTAAAAAGAGACTGAATTCATGCAATTGACTGCTTCCTGAAATAAAATTGAAACAGTTACGGTCCTTATTCGTTTTCTTCTCAAGTCTCCAGAATTCTCGTATTGTTGTTACTTGGCATATCACTGGATAAAACAAGAGCTCCTTCCTTTCTTGAAAGAAAAACGTTCCCCTTCATTCAGGCCACGACGTAAATCCGATGGCTCTTTCAACTACTCCCCTGACATATACTGCGACAAGTACGACGAAAACACAGGCATTTGTCCGGAGGGTGACGAGTGAGTATTTTTCATTACCAGTTAGGTTAAAGCTAAAAGCGTGAGTCTCAACAGAGAATCTATCAAACAGACACTTGCTCCGTGAGAATGAGAATACAAGAAATTGTAACTTTTTCTGAGCTAAGCTCCATCCCTCAAGAATTTTGCTATAGGCTGTGGTGGGTTATGAATTATGCAAGGAGTTCGAGAACGCTTAGTTCACTGCGAATGAGTCTCTTCCGTCTGAATTATTGACTTTCCTAACCGTTGCCCATTCTTCCCATTGTCTGTGCTTTATTAGGAGCAGAAGCAGAATCATGTTTTTGTTATGCATT